CTGGGAAGAGTATCCAGGAGACAAGACATGTGGATTCAAAACTACTATTCTCATTCCTCATGTCCAATTTTCAGCAGGAACTGTACATCGTACCCTGACGTGCACCTCCCAAGAAGCCCACAGCAATTATGATTGGCCTGTTCAGCACCATCGATTCTTCCTGTTGGTTTCGCGTTACATTTTTGTCTCAGCTTTTTTAGTTTATTAGTGAAAGAATAACAATGATCGCCTCAGTATAAGGAGTAAAAATAAATAAATCATAGCATTGATATAAGTACTCACAAATATCAGCAGATTCCTGGCAGGAGATTGTTGATGTGTGTGATGTGTGTGTGTCTCCTCTTCATGTGTGAAAACAGCTTGTAATCACTCTAAGATCTGATCACACTAGAAAAAGATGCTGTTAGTGATTAAGTGACAACAACAGCTCCTGTTGTCTGAAATGACCTATGCAAGACTTTTTAAAAAGCAATAAAAGAAGAGAAAAATAAAACCCTTAGCTGAAGAATATAAAGCAGTTGAAGCACAAACACACCCTCAACTTTCATCTTGAGTTTCGATCTCATTTGGTTTCATTTTTTGTGTCTAGACATTGGTTTTGACTTGTGGTCAAAGAAATCCTGGTTTAAAGCTAAATGTACTGTTTTTCAATATTAAACAGAAACTAGAAAACTCAATTTTCTGGAGCCATTTGCACACATGCGCTGCAGCCCTGAGTCTTTCCAGGAATTAATGACTGGAGTGGTTGTGAAAGCGCAGATGTTCGGTGCAGTCGGGTTGGACATTAGCTGGTATCTAACCTGCCAGCTTCCTTCTACATAGTCCATATTGGGATGAGTCAGTGTGCAAAAAGCACAGCTGATAGACCGGCACATTCACCACTAGCAAGCGGGTGAAAAGTAAGCAGTCTCCTGCATGCTCTATCCAGGCTCCTCCCCTCACCTAAACCGCATGGAGCATGGAGCATGGCTGAAGTGGATTATTTCCTGCGTACTACATGTGATACTGGGAAAAGCATCCCAACCTGATTCCTGGAAAAAAGCCCAAAGCTGATGAGTAAAAACTTCTCAGGTTAGACCTGTCCCAAATTCCACTCTACTACAAGGAGGCAGCGCTACTTTAAAACATAATTATAGGCCATAATAACAACCTCAAGTTCACATTTGGCTGCCTTTGCTAGTAGGCACCAAAAATATCAGTCAGTTAAATAATTGATTCTTGTTTCATTAATGTACAACACCAGTTAGACAGCTGCACCAGTCTTTGTCTCTTGGAAAATGACAGTGCTACATTAATGAGCTGCCAGAAACATCCTGAGCCAACAGGTCAACCAGCTTGTTTCCCTAAAGAGCAAAATCGCCAGTTGGTACTACAATCAAGAAGACTTTAGTGTGGCTCCAATGTGCATGTTAACCACAGCAGAATGTGACAAATTCATAAGGATTTCATGGACTACATCAGCGTTCTCTCAACTTAAAAATTAGGAAGTTCTTTTGCAGGTTTAAATGGTGACATGACCGTGCCTTCAGGCCACATCAGACTGACAACTGCTGCATTATAAAAAGACAGCTCCCCTCCCAGCGATCATTAATTTCAATGACACCTCTTCCTTGACACAGAGGCATCCATGAAGCACACAGCTCCAGCTAAAAAGGAGGTGCTGTCCTGTAAAGAATGTAAGCTTCCCTCAACTTCTGCTACTTCAAAAATCACCAACTAATCACACAATCCTGTTTTGCACCTATCTGACACCTCTAATTTCATTTTTCCTGAAATTCCAACAGTATCACATCATCTTATCAGTATCTGTGGAACCTTGCACACACACACACACACACACACGCGCGCTATTAGGACTGCTGCCGGTATATGACCTGTAAAGATGGGCAAGGACTGAACCAAAGGGGTGATACTGTGTCCATTTCCCATTACTGAATGTTCAAAGAAACCGTGTGAAGGAGGAAAAAGCGAAAGTAGCGCTGAAGCGGGTGGGATCAGCCTCGCTGAGCTGCAGCATGATTTGCAGGCGAGGGATTCTCCACGGTCGTTCAGCAGCTCATTTAGAGAGCTGCCCGAGATCATTTCCTGTCCAAGGAAAGAGACAAATGCTATATCTACCGGAGCTTCACTTACTATTGAGTTTTCTCATTATCAAGAAGCGCTATGCTTTAAGAGGTCGTATACTGCTCGCCTGTCCTGCAGGGCGGACAGTTTTATCAGACTGCCCAGTGGGACCATTAACATTGTTAAAACAGTGCAGAGATGCATGTTTCGGGGTAAAGAGGTCAGGCTTCGTGTTCTTTTGGCCATTTGTATCCATTAACCACTGATGAAAATGCAGAAATCTCACTGTAACGTTAGAAAACCTCGTTAGGTGTCATTGAATCCAGGTCAGAGGTCGGCGCTAAAGAAAAGCTGCAGGTAATTTAGGGTTCCGCTGCAAAGTCAGCAGAAACCCGATATGAAAGTAGACACTAAGAGGATATGTGGAGTGCTATGAAGCAACTATACCATGTGGTAAATGCAAGAACAGTTTGAGAGGCTCAGTGAAGTTAATTTAAAGTGAATCAAAGTGTTTTACAACCTAAATTAAAAGCTGGAGCTGTGACAGACAATAGCAGCAACTCACTTTAAACTGAAGTGCAGAAGAAGAAAAAAAGAGTGAGTGAAAGCCCCATCAAGGAGAACCTGGCCTTGCCAAATGCTGCATCTCTTTCCTCTGTGATGATGTAAAGCATCAGAAAGCAGCTCAGCTGTTTAAACACAAGCGCGCTGTCAAAGCTATCGAGACTCCGAAAAGCAGCGAAATTATTCACCCATTCAACATCAGGCAACGTTTTGAATCAAATGGCGTCAGTGAGGTTATGGAGGTCGACTTTCTGTTGCTGTAAGGTGCAGCTTGAATTCATCACTGGCATGATGAGCACCCTGGTTTCCGTGCAACAAAAGTCTGCTCAGTCTGACGGCCTGTGGTTTACAGTGAGCATGAGCATTGATTTGGTGAACTGCAGATCAAAAGATGTCTAGACATCGATGCAAGAGGGAGGCTGAATTTGTTTTTTGGCTTTTGTTTGTTTAGTGTTTTTAAAAATATGCCGCTGTGTGTAACAGTGGTTTCTGCGATGACCTTATTCCACTGTGAGACAGCGACTTCACATTTAAACGTGAACTACAAAACTCTCCGTCTGACTGCTGTACAGGATTGTTTACACCATTTACAGAAATGAACAAATATTCAGTCTTTCATAACTTCTGTTTTAAAAAGAAGTTAAATGACCTTCTCAGAATTTAATATAAACAATTTCTCCCATTCTAGACTTTATACACTACATTACACTTAGCCATAGGATGCATATTGGACCAAGACAGCCTTCGTCTGTTCTTAAAGAGGCAAAATCCTGCTTTTCAATTCAGATTTAAAATAAGAAAGGAGAAAGTTTGCCCTCCAGCAGATGAAGACGAAAACAGGCTTGTGCACATAAAGCTCTTCGTGTGAACAGCAAGTGAGGAGTGGGTTTTTTGACAGTAGAGTGGCTCCAATGCAGACAAAACGAAGGCATGATTTCACAGACTTTTGAACCTTTTTTTGACCCTTATCAAAACTGTGAATACTGGAATGTGCACGTGCATTTCTGCTCAAACATCCGAACCATGAGCAGATTTCTCAAAATGAATTTGCCACCCTGGGGCTCCTCTGTCAGTGCACCCCAGGGTGGCTGTGGCTACAATGTAGCTTGCCATCACCAGTGTGTGAATGTGTGTGTGAATGGGTGGATGACTGGATGTGTAAAGCGCTTTGGGGTCCTTAGGGATTAGTAAAGCGCTGTACAAATACAGGCCATTTACCATTCTTTTTAAATCCTAACCAAACTTTTAACTGTAACTAAATATGGCATATGTATGTAAGAAAATGTGATCGTGCTTTTTGATTTTTCAACCAAATTCTGACAACAGGCATGTGCACATAAATCTCACTGCTAGCATCCAATTTAAGAGCACATTTTCCGACAATAAGATGGTTGGTTACACATAAAAACGGCTTGATTTGACAGGTTTTGACACAAAAACTTTGTCTGTAACCGTGCATATTCATTCCTAACAAAACTGGACCCACTTCTCACCTAGACACCACCTGCAATCACCCACAGCATGCTTCCCAGGCTGCAGATTCCCCTCGTGGTGTAAAGTTAAGGGAAACCCTCGCATCTAAACCTGGATTCAGTCCAACTGACTCCACCATACTAAAAGGCTTGTGTAAAGCTGATCTTTATCCGCATCTCCCCCTACACACACATACACATATGTACGTACAAATAAAAGAGCTGCACAGACTTGTTGGCTGCACGCCTTCCCCCTCACAATGTCACCCAGGGTTTGCTGCAGCAGGAGCAGGAGGAGCAGGGTTGTGAGGGGCGACATCCACCCAGAGGGAAAAGAAAAGGCATCAACTTTGTGTCTCCATTTAATCCGAACCTCACACAGATCCTCCTCTGAACTTTGGACAGCAACAACAGCAGGAGGAGAAGGAGAGGGAGGAGGTGTTGGAGGTGGTGAGCCTAATGGTGGACCATGAGCTGTTTCCTTCAAGAACATTCCAGTTCACTGGGAAGCAAAAACTGGTGTTTGGTTTAGAAGAACAACAGCATTTAAACATGACGAGACAGGCAGACAGGCTGCTGCCAGAGCCTCCTCTCCGGGACGGCTAACCGTGTGCATCCCGGATAGCATTAAAGCCACCTTTACGGCACACTTTACCCCCTCAAAAATAACCCCCATCCCCGGTCTGCAACTGCAGGGCCCGGTCATACACCACCACCACTACCACACACACACGCACACACAGGCACATAACACAACACGTATAGCGTGCCCCGTAGCACCAAGCGGAAAGAGACAAGCGAAAAATGTAGAGGAGGGGGTGCAAACCGGGACCGTAAACCGGCCACACACCCGCCGAGCACGGACATATGAGGAGGAGAAGTGCAGGTAGACGAACTAACCTGTTTGGGAGCAGCACGGTCCGTTGGATGTTAGGTTGAATCCGAGTTAAATCCACTATCAGTAAAACAAAGAGGCGAAAATGACCGAGCGGTCGCGGAACAGGCCGAAACTGTTCTCTCGAAGCGGCAGAACGCATGCGCAGAGCGGGCAAGCGACCGAGCCGGAGGCGGTAGAGTCGGGGGAGGGGGAGGGGGGAAGAGGGGCGCGAGTTGAACGAGGGCGGCAAATTTCTGAAAATCGATCCGCTGATTCTGTTATTGATTATCGAGTTGGCACCATTTTCTTTATTATGGGTTTATAAGCTGTAAATACTTTATTTATTTGAATTCTTTCATATTAATCAATAAAAATTTATAGCAACACCAGGTTGCACTTCATAGGTGTCAAACATAAGGACCCGGGGCCAGAATCGGTCCGTCAAAGACTACAGGCGGTTTTACACTACCTGCTTTAGAAATTTCGGTTTAAAAAACAGGAACATTTCCCTTGACTTACCTAACTTCATGGTTTATAAATACAAGATAGTCTGGTCAATGAGCTACCAGAACGTTTTCTGTAACTGACACATTTATCATGTAGAAAAACTGAGACCTGCTGTTGAAACACTTCTTTTTTCTTATCATAAGAAATCACGGGGATTAAATGTATAGTTTAATGTCTTTACATTGACAGAAAGCAGAGTTTCAATAATAAAAGTGATAAAAGATAAAAGTGGGAATAGTTTTGAATTTTGTATATGTTCACTTTGTTTTATTTATTATTTTTAATGTTATTTTTATTTAAGAAGTCAGCAGTGCAGTAAAAACAAGTGCAAAGTCCAAGCTTTTGTTATCTGACGCGCTGAAATCCATTTTAATATACTTTAAATCATTTATGTCGTAGCACAAACATCGCATTCATTTAATTATTTAGTAATGACTATCAAGTGACAAAAGTCTTTAGGTCACAGTTTTGGGTATTTTCTAAAACTTTCCACTCATTCAGGAAAATTATGCGTGTATTAAAAATGTTATGTATTTAAACAATTATAACCTGTTACTGTAATGTAAATAACAAATTATAATAAAATAACATAATCTTTATCTTCCTCATATAGCATTCTCTGTTGTCAGCACAAACAAGATCAGTGAGAAAGATAAATAGCTCCATGTAGCATTATTATCATTATTATCACTTTGACCATCAGGTGAATTCTTGACCTTTAAGGAGAGGTCAGAAGTCATGTGATATTTTAAATCTTCATATATGTATTTCTATGTATTGTTGATGCACATTGCGCTTCTAAGAATCATAGTTTATAAGTTATAAGAGGTTTTTGACCAATAAATCATTAAGTTGAATTTGAAGATTTTGTTTGCCTCCAGCTCGTTTGGAAGGACACCAGGACATTAACTAAACCAGCTGAGAGACATATTCTCTCCAGCGTATTCTGGTTCAGCTTGGGGGCCTCCTCCTGCTAGGATATGTCCAAATTACCTCACCATGTAGGCATCATCAACAAACTGAAAAATGGTTCCTTTTGGATTGTCACCTTATTGCATCAGAGGGGTTTGTGATATTTGACAGTTCCCATGAGCTGTGTTGTCAAAAGCAATTTGTCTCTGGTAGGCTCTCCTAAGGGAAACTCCACCAGGACTTCATGTGGTCTTAAGTGAAGCACAGGAGCCCATCTTTATGGGGGGCCCTCTTCCCACAGAAGGTTAGGTGCTATGTGGATCAGACAATGGCCCTCACCCTGTGTTCTCCAGCATCCAAAACTGGTTCCAGGGCAGCAAACCATCAATTTTTCCAATTGTTCTTGGTAAATTTACTTTTGAATCTTCCTTTATTTTGGGTTCTATATAAAATAGTCTAATCAGTTCTCAGTAGAAAATCTGTTGAGGTTGTAAAATTGTGCTTTAATTTCTCTATGTAAACAAATAAACCTCCATCATATTAAAATTTAATAGACAATTCTTTAAAATATTGTATGGTTTTAATTTTTTTCTGTCTGTTGATTAACGTAGGGTTGTCTTCTTCTTGCACAGAAATGATGAAGCTGGAAGCCAAAAGGGACCCTGCACATTTCTCTAAAAAGAGGCTAATCCAGCCATGGAAATAAGACAGTAATAAGAATAAGTTTTGGGGATGCCAAATTGTGGAAAATCCTTCTTCTTTACAGCCCTTTTGTTTTTAAATTCATAAGTGCGACCACCTGCAGTGCACTCTTAGACACCTACCAGAAATCCGGATCAAAATCTGTTTGTCAAATTGCTTGAGATTTACAACAGCAGACTTCAACGATGATCTGTACAAGATCATAAATGGATGTTTATTATTTATAAAAAAACACTTATTATTGGTTCACCAACATTTTTAACTGCATTTCATTTTAGTCATGATAACAGCTGATCAAAACTGTCCCTGAACTTACAAATGTCTTCAGGTAAATGGATAACATAACACCTCTGCAATTTACACCAGGTGAAATAAATGAAAGCAGAACTGATCTGATCTGATTTCTCACTTTCTTTCCACGCGACTTTCCTGCGAATCAGAGCTGCAGAACTGCCACACTGAGTCACAGAGGGTTAAAGAGAGGGCGGAGCCTGTGGTCATGTGCCGTCAATAAGGACAAAAGAGTGAAGAGTTCTCACTCTGCTCCTGCTAAAAGAAAAAAGTTCCAGTAGTGCAATGGTGAGTCACGTGGACTGATTCGCTGACGCAAAGACATTCCTGGGCACACAAACTTGTTACAGCACAGCACATTTATTTTGTGCATGCAAAACAAAATTGAAATTACAAATTTATATATAAAACTGCTTTACACCTTCATTTAGACACGTAAATGGCAAAGACTCCAAGACAACCATACATTTTACAACACTTTTGATTAGTTTGATTAGTCTAATTCGCTTCATCAACATACAAAAGACAATAACTTGTATCTCAAGACTGAGTTAAATACATTATAATTTCAGTGCTATGATTTTAAAATGTTTTCAGTGAATGGAAGTCTTTTCATTGTGTGTTGTTTGATTTTTACATCAGTTTTCAGAATAAATAGTTAAAAAAAAACAGTCTTTGTCACTTTGAATAACATATTAGGGTACTACATTTTAGTTCTGCATCCATTCTTTTCTGTCATGTTAGTCATATTTCTGATTACTCATTATTAAAATAATAAAATAACATAATTTGCATGTCAGCGCTGCTTTTTGATGGCAAGTGTTACACATTCCGCAGGTGCAATGTGAACGACACTTGAAGCCTGAAGAAGTGACCTTTGCCAGTTTATGCTGTGGTGCAATATGTGGAATCATTGTGTGCATGCTCATTTTTTAATCTTGTTGACACAAATTTAACTGTCGCCACTTAATAGTCCCCCCCGGCTACAAACTTAGTGTGGTTCATGTAGACTGGTCACATCTGCCAAGCTGATCAAGTCAAGTGGGTAAGACCAGCAAAACTATTGCATGCACATGTATACGCTAAAATGTATGGATTACAGAGGATGGAGAAAATCCCTCAAAACCCTCAACAATAACGAACAACATCATTACTTCCTTATGATTCAACCTTAGATCTGGAAATATCTTAAATTTACATATATTTTAACACCGATGCAGGGTGCAGTTTAGCACTATTTCATCACAGCAAAAACAACTTCCTGGTTTAAACCACCTGGCCACTTGGGGCCTTTCGGAGTTAGTTTGCATGCTCTCCTTGTGGCTGCACGCGTTTCCTTATACTGTCCAAACATACATGTAGATTAACTGTCTCTAGTTGGGTTTTTGAGAGTGTATAATTATCTGTCTCTCTGTATTAGCCCTGTGATGAACTGCTTACCTGCCCAAGGTGCACCCCACCTTTTGCCCTATGTCATCTAGAACAGGCTCCTCCTGCAACCCCTAACTGCACAAGTATTTAAGAAGAAGGGTGGGTGGATGGATGGATGTGGAATGCTAGTACACCCCACAGCAAAAGTAACACTGCATTGAGTTATTAATGACTTCTCTGCAATTTGGAAATTTTGCAAAGCCACTTGGTGAGCTGGGTTGGCCCCTTTGGCAGGCCGATCTTGGCCTTTGACACCCTTGGTCTAGTCTATTACACCAGCACACATTAACGTTTAATTTATCTGTGTTTATCCTTTATTAAATGATAAAGTCCAAAATTTTGCTTAATTTAATCTTTTAGATGTTTTCTAGACTTGAAATGTATTGAGAAAAAAACACACAGATCAATGTTTTGGAAATTATTAGAAGTGATTTATTATTTATTTATCGTTTATGAAGGCAAGACTCATTCAGTTTGAAGAACCTTTTTTTAAGTTCTGCATGCTGACAGCGCTTTTCTTCAGGGCGGAGTGGCTCATCCTCTCAGTCGAAGATCTTTGTAGCTCCCTGATTATTGTTCAGACGATTGCTGACTTTTTCCAGGCTTCAAACTGAGTTACCGGCTTCTGTGTGAGACACAAAATGTCCTTACAGTCCGTCGGGAGACAGCAGGATGGATTTATATCTTGTTTACTTTAGTAGACATACACTATTTCTCAGGTTTCTGGGATTTTTTAACCAAAAGCGACCGAAACTTCGGTGTTTGTTCAACTTCTGGGATCTAAGCAGCTGTTTGGCTTAACCGGTTGACTTGTCATAATACTAGTAATAATAATAATAATGGATAATAGCGGCGAAGTCTCCAACGACATTCGGACTGTTTACGCTGCTGTTTCCAGAGAACCAAACTCTGACCTGAAGAATGGACAGCTTTTCAAACTTTACAAGAGGAGGTGGTTTGTGCTGCTGGTGTTGTGTCTCCTAAACTGCTCCAACGCAACGGTGAGTCTGTGAAAGGTGAAACCAGGTGTGTTTATGAATACAGGTAGTCACGGGACATGTGGTGTTCCCCCTATATGTTTGTTTGACTTGGTATAACTCCCCGGTGGTGATGTTAGTGTTAAACAGGGTGTGCTGAGCTCCTCCCGCAATCGTTCTCCTACTTCCTGCTTCCACGGGACTCCTCTTCCCTATGGGAGCTATTGTTCTGAGGAACAGGTGTCCCCACTTCCCGTTTAAGGCCCTCAGGCCATAAAGAGTCATTCCGTGGCTGATAAATAAGGCTGATAAGCAAACAAGATGTAAATCTGTGCAACAGGGCTGACAAGTACAGTGTGCCAGAGGCGGAGCTAAAAGGGACACATGGGGTGGCACTGACATCCTTTTGTACCCCCACCCCAACCACACGTCAATGCAACCGTGGATAAAGGACTAATCAGATGCCCAAACCACTTCAACGGCTTCATTTAGTCTTGCACGGTAATTAAAGGGGAGTTTGAAAATGTTAATCATGTTTTCAGTAATTAAATGTTGCATAAAGCATTTTTCCTTTAATATAAGCATCAAATATCTGTGCAGAGTGTACACCTGAAACTTATGTTACAGACCCTGACCAGTGCATTTATATGTGTTAGAAAAATGTTTGCTCCGATGTTTCTATTTTCATTATATCATGTTTTCCCTATATGATGACAGTGACCATGAGAATTGATGATATGTTGTGGTATCTATAGAAAATCTGATAAAATGAAATGAAACTAGGAATCTTAATATTCCCTAACATTATTTATTTCATTTTCTTAACTTTATTAATTAATTATTGTCCCTAATAAGACAAATAATAAAGAAAAGAACAGCAAAAAACTAGAGAAGGAGCCTGTGAGTCAAGGTGCAGGGTGTGATATCACAGTCTTGTTTTTAAAGTAGAGAAGATGGAAAATCTGTAATTGCATTAAGAATTGATTTTACAACCTTGTCTGGTGTTTTATTCCACAACATAACAACAGCTGTGACTCAGACTACCTTAGTAGGTTTATTGTGGGAAGTGAGTTTTTACTCAGCGTGTCAGCGAAGTTTCCACAGTGACGGAAAAGTGAAAGCTGTTAGCGGTTGTTGTCTTCCTGCAGTCATTCATAAAGTGTGCACATAAGCTGTGGCTTCTCTAAAGCAGGTACTGAAAGAGAAGTGATCTGTAAGCCTGACGGAGCTGCTGTTGGAGTCTTTACAGAGTTAACAGGTGAACATTTCTGCCCACGGTGTCATGACAAAGAACAGATATTGTTGCTTAAGAGCTTACTAGAATGATCAATCAAATATCAAAGTGCTGGGCTTGTAAAGTAAGTCCCTCTTAAGTTAAAGTTCAAATTATATTAATAATAATACTTAGAAACCAGTTCTTCTAATGCAGTTTATTTCTGTTTGTTAGTTTATTCTAACAGATCTTAAAAGCTGCTACAAACATGGAAAAACATAATCCCAAGTTATGAATAATCACAAATCTAAACAATTTTATTTCGTCATCTAACAGTTTTTACAAATTGCAGATAAAAAAATTGTTGACATATTTAAATTAAAACATTTTAAATATTGAAATTAAAGTTTCACTTGTGACAAGATTGCATTAACTGTAATCTCTGCAGATAATTTAGGATTTTTCATTTTTAGCGTGTTAGCATCGCATGTTGCCTACAGTTATACTGCACGCCTTGATGCTTTTTAGGTGTCCGAGTCTGCATGAAATCTAAATTTAGCACAGTTTGAAACGTGGAAGCATGTGGGATTGAGAGGAAGCGATACTCTGATCTGATACGACCTGTGAAATAACAAAACAGGGGCATGTGTGAAAACCGTTTCTAGAAGCATTCCTCCCTGCTGGGGACAAGACTGGCATTGTGTGTCCAAATCAGCTGACCAGCTCCCACCAGCTCGGCATGAATTAGGATTTCTTCACCGTCCACACAATAGAGGACAGGACTGGTACTGCCTTTGTGGTCTCGGTGAAGAGTTTACAGGTCAAATTATTCAGTTTGTTTGCGTATCAGGCCAAAAATACACATATACACATGTGCTGCCTGTTTCCAGGTGAATTATAGGTTATATGTGTAGTAAAAAAAAATCCTGGATACGTTCCTTTTTAAACATGTTTAAATAAGCGTGACATTGGATTCTGTCTGAAAAGGTGTTACACACACGGATAATTTAAACCAAGCAATAGAAGTATAAACATGTTCTGGCTTGTCCTGAGAAGCTACAATTATTAAGTATTTTATATGTTTGTCATGAAAATAGGACTTCTTTATACAAATTCACATTAGATTCGAGATATTTCAGCTATTTTTAGTGCACTTTTTAGTTGCTCTACACAAAAATCACACAGTGATTAAATTACAGTAACAACATGGTGATGTTTATCAGGTACAATTCTTATCATGTAACACGGTGTAGTCTCAGCGGGAGTGTGGGTAGCTCCTACTGCTTAGTACGTGTGCACATTAAAGTTTCAGCTTGTTCTTCTTCTGCAGATAAATTCACATTCAAGACTTTTCAAAGTAAAGCCCTACTTTAAAAAAAAAGTCTGGAGGAGTTTATTAGCAGAGAAATGCAACCGCAGCAGCAATTTTAAATAATCAAAGATGTCATTATGTGAATACATACAGTTCCTACATTTACAATTAGTTTATTTATTACATTGGTTTACTGTCTAGCAGGAGAGCAGCTGTTGTTTCCTTTTTGTCAGCACAGCATGTGGTTTTAGTCGTAGCTTATAACCGGCTTACACAACCGCAGCTCTTTTTTTGAAGTATTTTTCATCCATGAAAATTTTCCCACTCATGTCTCCGCTTTTGATCGGCAGCAAAACTGCAAAGACTAATATAATTTACCTACTTTACCTTCATCTAGAAGTTACAAACCTCAGGTCTTGACTCAGTTCCTTGGACTTTCCCATTGTTCTGAGTGTTGGTCAATCCCATAAGTGTTGTCAAAAAAGTAGAGAAAATAGAAACTACCAGTTGAAATCAATTGTTAAGTTCAAGTTAAAAGAAATTGTAAAACCTTCAGCACCACTTATTAAAAGATTTGAGTGAGTATAAGTGTGTATGTGAGCCTGTGTAGATTAGAGAACATCCTAAATAAATTCAAACTTGTGCACCAAGTTCATATTTTTTTAAAGCCATCAAATATTTATGCTGTAGAATCATTTCATCCTGGAAAAAGAACAGTTCAGAGAAATCACTGACAGCCCAAAATGAACATGACATTCATGCCCATGATGGGTGCATATATGACCTTCTCACCACAAATGTAAGTGCTTCAAAATTGTTCTTGAATAAATGTTGTAGGCCTCTATTGATAAACTCACTCTTATTCATCCACAATCAAGGTGAAATATGAGAGAATTTTCTAAAGGCTTTTTGTTGAACATGTCTTTTCACCAGCTCAGCACAGCATTGTATGAGTATGATGAAAGTGTCCTATTATTTCCTGTCTCATGCATGCTAAGTAGTGTCATGTGAGGGCAGACACATGACACTAGGAACATAAACAATAGAAATCATCTCCTTCTCATGTGAGATGAGCATGTCTTGTCACTTCCTTTCTTTTTCTAAAGTTGTGTCCAGATCACAAGACTAAAACAGGCTCCAGGAATCTGATCACTAAAGTGCGCCTGCTTGAGGAGGAGTGACCACTAAGATGATGTACTGAAATAGGGATGCTTTGTTTATGTCATGTAATCGATGATGTCTAACAGAGTGGTTGTTAAATATCCACCTAAATGATTTGTACCTGACTGGCACTGTGATAAAGCACTTTAGTGTAATTATTGTCCACCTGCACAAAACTAAGCTGACAGCACTGAATGAAAAGCAGCTTCTGAAATATCCATGTTGGCACGCTGCTGAAGTAAACCTTCGGTTTTACCTTCTTTGACATAGCTGACATTTTAAATTGCTGGCTGGAGTCACTGCAAACCTTTACACAATGCAGATTTACAAAAGGTTGTTCAGGCTTTGCCCCGTCTGCTGTGGTTTTTCTACGATGGAGCTAAACACGCAGCCTGGTCTCGTATGCCATACTTATCATATATGAATATATAGAAATGCACTGATCATATTTATATCAGGAACACAGCCAGATCTATCAGGTC